CATGGGACAATATGATTGGCATACATCGCAATCCTTCACCCTCTATTACACACCAATTAAAATATAAATACCCCACTATTTGAAATTAGCTGGAGAAAGGCTTAATCTTGCTAACATTCATGGTTGATTTATGTAAGAAGCAAACATCCCCAAATTTTGTACTACTAAGCTTCTCCATCTTCTTACACTATAGAGGCTACTAGGTTTCTCAAGTAAGTTTTCAATTTCACATTTCTAAAGAATTTCACATGTGTAAAGAATTTATACAACATTTCATTCAGCCAAAAAATGGGTCAGACATTGGCCTGATGTTGCTAACAATCCATTTTCTTCAAAACACTAGTTAGATATTTCCAGCAACTCACAAGAAATCAGAAAAATGCAAAATAAAATCAAAAAATTTGCCAAGGTTATCCAGATTCGATTTCTAGTTGAGATGGAAGAAACCTAAGGTTGAATTGGTCCTCCATTAGCTTTAATCACAATTTTAACTAATAAACCACAAAATTCACAACACTCAATTAGGGAGCAATTGAAAATCATACATGACAAGTGCATTCAACACCAATAAATCCATGAGCTCCTTCCTCTTCTTCCTTTTTTATACCTTGGATCTAAGAAGAGAGCACTCAAGAGATACAAGAAAGAAAACCACTTGAGAGCACTTGAGATCTAGACCCCTCAAATTCAAAGAACCCCTTTACGCCATTTTATTTTGTCGCCGACTCTCCTCCTCAAAACCTAGATCTAAAAATCCCCAAAACCCAGCCTCTTTTCCCTTAGATTTGATTGGAATATGGAGGGGATTTCCTTAATTGGCCTACTTCGTCATATCGTCATGTCCTATTGAAGGGCATTTGGATTGTCTACCCGAAAGAGATAGTACTTATTCCATAGTTCTAGCTAATGTGTCAATCCCAAGTGATAACATGACTTGTAACTAGAAATTAAGGAATTTTGGTTGTTTGGATGGCAGTAAAATCAAATGGCAATTTTTATTAGGGAAATTAAGAAGTCAATGCTTTCAAAATTCTTACTAGCATCATGCCTCTGACAATATCATCTTTGTAATAATCAGATTGACTTTCTTGCAGAGATAGAAGAACATCAATCATGGTGGTCTTGTTTCTATCTTCAAGACGAGATGAATCAATCATGTTTCTTCTTTTCCTTAATCAATGAAATTCTGCATATATTCATCCCTTTCTACCATTTTGTTTTGCCACCGGTTCTCCCCCCAAAACCTAGAGCTAAAAATCCTCAAAATTCATGCCTCTTTCTCCCCATAATTGAATTGAATATGGAGGGGATTTTAACATTAGGGATATAATCCTGGACAAGGAAGGAATAACCTAATCCATAGTAGAAAATGCATTTTAATAGAAGGACAGACAGTATGTGACCGAATGTGTAACTTTACAGTGTGAACTTATCATTTTCCATTGACATAACATGTGCATTATCAAGAATCAAGATAAAAAAAACTTGTACTAACCGAACTTCTTAATTTCAATAATAAAGACCACATATGCTTCAATTGTCAAGGTCTTACACTTTGGCCTCGAGAAAGTCTCCCAATTCATACAATATTCTTGGCTCTATAAATACCCTCCTCTGTATCTCTCACTCCACAAACCAACACTAGTACTGAAATACTTTTACGTTATAGGAAGAGAGAAAGAAGGAGTGTTTGGGCTCTAGTTTTGCTCGCCTTGGCATCCGCAGTTGGGGCATTGGCTGATATTACTCCACTCATCAGCCGAGGCCGCTTCAATGAGATGCTCAAGCATCGCAACGATGCTGCCTGCCCTACCAAGGGGTTCTACACCTATGATGCTTCCATTGCTGCTGCCAACTCTTTTGGCGCTTTTGGTACCACCAGTGACATTGACACTAAGAAAAGAGAGATCGCCGCCTTCTTAGATCAAACTTCTCATGAAACTACAGGTTTAATTCCTATACCCATTTCACAAATCTATTCATATATACCTTTTTTTTGTAAGTATGTAACTTTTATAGGAATAGGAAGTTTTGAAATTAAAACCTTTACAAAATGTGAAGATTGTTAATTTGTAATTAATGACTCTGTGTACAGGTGGGTGGGCTACCGCCCCAGATGTTCCAGATGCATGGGGCTATTGCTGGGAGCAAGGTAAACCTGGAGATTATTGTGTTCCAAATCAACAATGACTTTGTGTTCCCGGTAAGAAGTAATATGGCCGAGGTCCCATCCAGATTTCAGAGTAAGTATTAACTAATTACACTCCTTGTGACTTTGTCTCACAATTTTTAAATTTTTTCCTATTTACTTTCTTTATTTTGGCAAAGAAAGAACTGTATTTATTATATATATATAGATATTCTAATCTTTAACTTAATTAATTTTATGGGTATTTATAAGTCATATTATTTATATATATTAAATAAAACTCAATTTTTAAAAATTATAAATACAACTTATTGAAATTATTTAACTTTAATAACGTTAAAAGAATTTGAATTTCTATTTTCAACATAACTCAAATAATTTCTTAATCACTTAAGTGAAATCCAATAATAAGTTTATCCCAATTTTCCTTTTAGGCTGCCTTGAGAAGGAAATGATTCTTGAAAATTTGGAAATGACTTCTCATATTGAAGGGGCAATTTTTCAATTGTTGACTTTTGACCTTGACTTTGACTTTGCGGCAATTACAACTACAGTCCAGCGGGAAAAGCTATTAACTACAACTTGCTAAATAACCCTGATGCTGTAGCAACAGACGCTACCATTTCTTTCAAGACAGCTCTTTGGTTCTGGATGACTCCACAGTCCCCCAAACCTTCATGTCACGATGTAATCACCGGAAAATGGACCCCATCCGCCGCAGACGCCCCGGGGAACGGGGTCATTACCAACATCATCAACGGTGGCATATATATTGAATGTGGCAAAGGTCAAAACACACAGGTTGTGGACCGTATCGGGTGCTATAAGAGATACTGTGATTTACTGAAAGTTGGTTATGGCAACAATCACCAAGTTGTCCTTCAATCTCCAAGGGTAGAATATTTACTTTTTCTTCTTGACTTGTCATTATTGCACTAGATAACTCACTTTGTATTTTTTCAGCAACTAAATTAAGCGAATAATTTGATTGAATTCCTAGATTTTTATTCAACATGTCTCCTCTTCTCGAGCTTGAAACCTTGAGTGTGGCTCTAACATATCTTCATTATTCCATGAGGAGTGTGGATAATTTATTCAATCAAAGTTGCATGTATTGGGATAAGAATTACATTGCTACCTATAAAAATCACATGAAAAATTAGCATGTTTGTTAGATGGTTTAAAATAACAATTAAAACTAAAATATTCTAATTCACACCATGGAACAAATAATATTAAATTATTTTATTATAACTTTTTTTAATTCAAACTTTTTAATGACTGCTCAAAATCATTCAAGTTCATCATTGTCAATTTCTACTTCCCAATTGATAGTTATTGCTTCAAGTTGTGTCCTTAACTTTGGAGTAAGACATTGATAATTTATATCAATGTCTATAACAACTCGATAAATAATTAGACCTACAAAAACAAAAATAAAAGAAACGAAAAAAAAAAAATCAAAGCAAAGAAATAAAAAAAAAGAAAATGTTCAAATTAAATTTAAAATTAACCAACTTCGATATTAATTAAATTAACAATTCTCGACAACAGCGCGAAAAACTTAATTTATTAAAATCACCTTAACAAGTGTACTAGTCGTTCTAAATAATATAATGATGAGTAGAATGTCTAACCCACTATAATTGTTATTAAGTACAAAAAATAATTAATCTAAATTTATTTGAACAATCGAAAAGGAAGAAATTTTAATTAAAAATAATAAAAAGAAAATAACAATTAAAATAAAACTAATCAAGATATGAGCTAGTAAGGCATTGACTTCACCATAATCAATCAATATAAATTTTGGATTAATATGCTTCCAAAAACAATTTTTTGAGTGTTATTGCATATGATGACGGATTTCCCTAAATTAACTAACTAGTTTTCTAAAGTCAAGTTAATCCTTTACTTGTTTGTTAAATTAATTATATACATATGTAATTTTAAATAAACTACTAAGTATTAAATTATATGTAAACCTCTAGTTTAAAAAGGGGAGCTCCTAGCTCTCTTTCTCTACTGCCACATGTGACACTAATAACCTCTCAGTTTTATAGTCTAACTCATAGTTTATATTATTATTAGTCTAATTTACTTAATTCTTTTTCAAGTTCATGCATAAATCATTAAATCAATTGAAAGCTAATCAGGCTTTCAATGTATTAAGTTTAATAATACAAACTTATCATGTGAATAACTTTAATTAAAAGTATAAAATTCACAAAATCTATATTAAATTGATTAGGTTACATCGTAATCTTAGTAAAATAAATTAGTTCATGATAAAAATAATAAACTTGAAATTGTAATTATAAATATAAGAATATCTAAAAAAAAAAAACATAATTTGAAGTAGTTGAAATTATTAATTTTTTATTATTGATGAATCCTCTATCTTTATTTCTAAGAGTGGCCAAAAGAGAGCTACCACTAACCTCCAAAGCTCTTCTAATTTTGAATTTGAATGAGCATTTATAGGATTTTAAAACCTTAATCAAAATAGAAGTGAAACCCACACCCAAAATAATAAATTAGACATGAATTTTTGTAAAAATGCGTGAGACGTCAACACCTTCAAAAAGATGCCAACACCTTCTGCTAAGCGGACAATGAAATCATCTAGTCGGGTTTTTGGCTTCCTAGGCAAAATGGTAAAATGATAGATCTCTTAACTTTTGAATTTTGCACAACTTAATCCTCAACTTTTAAATCTTTTTAATTTGCACCTAAAAATTATGATTCCTTCTAATTAAGTCCTTTTTTACATAAAAAATGAAAATTATGTAAAATCAAGTAAAATCTCATAAAATTCATCTAAATATCAATAATGTCAAGGAAAAAATTCT